GCTCGCATAAACTTAATGCACAAGTTTAATGATTGGGTGCTACATGAGCTAACTCAAGCAGATAAGGACAGACATTTTGTTCGGGTCTGCAGTAATCTCCTTGAATATCATTGCAAGGACAAAATTCTTTACTGGATCATCATTTGTGATGAAAAGTGGATTTAATTCAACAGCACAGGCTGAAAAGGGGATTGGTCCTAGCCCAGTGAGCTCGTTGGCAGCGTCGCGAAGCTCAATCTGCTTTGTATCTGTTGGGATTGCTGAGGTATTACACTTAAAGAGTATCTTGTCTTGACATTGCTCTTTCAGACTTCTAACTTTTTTCACACCTGCAGCAACATCTTGCTGGTGCTATTTTCCATTCTGCACAAAATGTCCAAAATGAGTTTGATCTATTTTTGTATTTGCAGCCACCAAGTTTCTCGGCTGAAGGTTTTGAAAAATTACCAAAACGTTGGCAGAAAAATCATAAATTTGGGTGGTAATACTGCTTTCATATTTATTTTTCTAACTTTATTAAGAACGTTTTTTGGCAGAAAACTTTCGTTACAACCATACTATACTTTTTTTTTACTTAATGAATATTTCATAATCTTTATTATATAAGCATATCCAACAAAATTTCCTCCCTTTACTTATTTTAATAGATTTACTAATGATGCAAATTAAAAACTTTTGGTCACCTCCAGAAAATGAGAATGAAAGTGACAGAAAAAACGTTGATCAAAATTGATATAGGTGCTGTGTTTTTGAAACCTGAATGTACTGTAATATGTTTAAGATATTTTATAAATGTGATGACTAGTACAAACCTAAACTTTTTCTGCCTTCACACACTCTTTTGGTCAATCACTAATAACTTTGCCCCACGAGAAAACTGAAAAACACCTCTTTTACAAAGGAGTGATATGCATCAAAAAAAGAAATAAAAGTACTTGGAAAAAATATAATCACAATAACATCTTTTCAAATGGAAAAAAAAAATATTTGCAAAAGATTAGTGGTAATAAAATATGATGAAAACAAAATGAGATTGCTTTTTAGCTTTGATTTTATATTTTACTTTGCATTCTTGCACATTTCCAGCTCCTTTTTTCAGTGATAAAAGTTGACATTAACAGACTAGAATAGACCAAAACATTTTAACCACCAATAGAAAGGCAATTTAAAAATATAAACATACCTCATTATATCTTGCTTTAATTACACTGCACTTCTTTACAGTGTAAATATTTGTGGCAACTTGCATTACTATAAGGAAGGCACTCATGCTAAACTTAAATATTAAACTAGGCAAAAATCCAATAAGAATACCTTTTCTATTTGAAGAATATGAAAAAGACTTTATTTAATTATTTAATTACAGTATGATAGTTATGTATGCACAGTATGATTGCATTGGGAATAATATTTATACCATCTTTTTTTACTGTGGCAGTTACTTTATTGCAGTGAACAGGAAACAAACTTGGAATATCTTAAAGAATGCCTATAATCACAGTCCTTTTTGTTTTTTTTTTGGGGGGGGGAGAAAATACCACCATTAAATTTGAATGAGGATGTACAGAAACTATATTTAAAACAGAAGAACCTTTCAAAACACAGAGACGTCATTTCGTTAGCGCTCAGTCTTTTATGATTTATTTTCATTATAATTTACATTATCACAATTTAAGGAAATCATTTACTTTATTGGAGGTACTAAGGCAACAATAATGTACAATATTCATGAATTTTCCGAACTTGTTTCAAAGGTTTAAATATAGAACACCCTTCTTCAGCTGCAGGAATGTAAATGACGAAGCAGAAAGCCTGTGCTCAGGTGATAACAATGAAAGAAAAACAGCAAAGCTACTTGCAACATCCACTGATAAAAATGAAATAATTTCCTTAAAAACTCAGAGAAAGATGATTGGAATTTGGATTATTAACTACAATTGCAAGATTTTTATGACCATGAAAAGCCTCTAGAAAATTCAACAGAAAATTTTTTTTGAATGATTTTGGCTGCAGAAAAATGGAGAATGTGATTTTTTGACCAACAGTCTTGGGGAACATAGATTTATGTATTTCTTTTTTTCCTAAACATACACTTCATATTCTTTAGAGTGAAATTTTGAGGCTCGCTTAGTCTGAGCAATGTATATGAAACCACACTGACAAGGAATTCTATATACACCCAAGAGTTCATATCTAGAATGGGTTCTTTAAGTACAGAACTGCAAATTTTATTACAAAGAAAAAAACAACCTGACAATTAAATTTCTATAAAATGCATGCAATTTTGTAGCTAATCCATGGAAAAGGAATGACAACAGTTTTGCAAAATGTATGTCTTGAAATGAGAAGTGCTTTTGGTAATGCTGAGATAATATTTAAACCATCAATAATGTTAGGTAAAAAGCCTCTGTCAATAGCATCTCCTTTTATGTACCTTAATTTGGGGTTGATAAGTTGCAGCTTATCATGCATGTGTTTAAAAGTTGAAAATTTAGGTTGTGGTGTATCTGCCAGGACAGCATACCCAAAGGAATTTTATTTTTGCTGTTTTTAGAACTTTGCTGTTTTTAGAATTTTAGTTTAGATCAGCATTAGAAGTTAAGCACACACAAAATGGTTAATGTGGAATTTGCTGTGATATTTTAGCCCGTTATAGGCACTCAGACTGTATCAAATCAGTGCCATAAGTTTGAAACTTATCTAACTGCAGTTGAATGTACTCAGTTTAAAGACCCATAATGCATGTACTTTCTGCTAAAGCCTGTGGTGTTATCTACATTTTCTAATGACCCCCTTTTTTATTTTAACTGGAAAGAGAAACTTTTATTTTGCCAAGTTCTGTGTCCATATTTCCACGTGTCTTACTGCTTTGTGTCTTGCTTATTGCTTACTTGTTGCACTGCTTACATTATGATTCAGCCTTGTTGCATTTTTTAAATTATTATGGCTCCTACTCAAAGAAAAAGTTATATAGCTGCTTTTAAGCTTTCATCAATGACGAAAGGAATAGAAATTAGAAATTGGGCTGCAGCTAGAGAATTTCAAGTTGATGAGAGATGCATTTGGTGGTGGAAGTCCAAACACGAAGAATTACTGAAAATGTCTAAAAATAAAAGATCTTGTCAGACTGGTATCATGGACTGCTCTGTTTTAGAAGAAAATTTAAATAAATAGACAAAACAGTAGACAAAATAGGGATTATCAGTATCAACAGTTAGAATTAACTTTCATACAAAAAGCAATTGCTCTGCAAATGGGCATTAATAATTTTGTTGGAGGAACAAGTTGGCATTTCAGGTTCATTAAGCAAGAAAATTATCCATTAGGACCAAAATAACAAATGGATAGAAGTTTCTTGTGGACTGGCCCTTAATAATAATAATAATAATAATAAAAAAAAATTTCAGAGTATCAATCTATGAAAACTAAAGAACGAAATTTGGATAGAGGGGAGAAATTTATTGAAAAACAAAAGGTGTTTTTTACCAACTTCGGGGACTCATTGGGCTGGATTCAGAGTGATCCCATTTAGAAGATATGGTGAAAACTTAAGGGAAAAAAAAAAAAAAAAAAACTTAGCACCAATGGGCTTAGTAATACCAGATGGGTTTACAAAAATTTTACAGCTCTACCATCAATATAATTTTTAACCATGAACTAAAAAAGGCAGTGGGAGGAATGGATGTGGAGTCTATTCCTTCACAAATTACAGATAGATGGGAAAAGCTTCGTATAAAACGGTTGCCTTGTGAGTCAATAAAGCATGGCAATCAGTCCAGCTTTCATCAGAAATCATAGAAAAAGAAAACTAAAATGAAGACACTGACAGTGAAAGAAAAAGATTTAGAACAGAATGCTGAAAGTGACCCTGATGGACATTTGTTAAATTTATTTAATTCTGACACTAGTTAGTCAGCATTTGAAGGCTTCGTATAAATAAATGTAGTTTATTTTAATTACAAAATTGTTTGATTATCTTATGTATGCATTCTTTTTCATAATATGGTAGTTTATGGTAATAAAGTTCATTTAACTCATAAAAATAACATAATCAGCAGAGTTCAGTTTTGGTAAGTTCAAGATAAGATGTTTGCTAATTTTTTTAAATTTATTTATTTACTGATTACAGTTGCATCGTAAATGCTATAAAATGCTATTAATGGTCATTATATCAGTATGGAAGAGATTTACTGAACAAATGAATATTAAGTGCTATGTTTTCAAATGCTTTGCCTCCGCATATACAGCAGTGCAGCTCAACTTTAATTTTTTTACTGAATTATCATGTGTGCGGAAAATACACTGTTGCAGCTTATCAACCTGAAATTATGGTAGATTTACTCTTGATCAAGAACTGACTTGAAAGAGCAAAGCTGATGTCATTACTTATCAAACATGAGTTTTTGAAAGTCTGACGATGATAGGGGAAAAAAAAAAAAAAAAAAAAACAATGAGAGGAAAGGTATTCTATGAACATTTAAACCTTACAGCTTACTTATACTCAAAAATTATAAAATAAAAAATATGAATTATTTTAATACATCTTCTCTCAAGCATTAATATTACAAATACATATTAACATTACAAATGAAAATGAATGCATTCTTATCATCCCCACCTTTATTACCACTGCAGAAAGGAATAATTTAATTATTAAATGCCTAGAATTTACATATTCCATAATGTAGAAGTCCTAAAATACAAAATGTATAAACTTATAAAAATGTAAATTGTCATAGAAATTAAGATGCATACTAAATTATTACATTTTCAAAAAAATTTCTGTCATTGATAAAATATGACAATTTCCTACTAAAATTATGCACAAAGAATTAAAAAAGATGCATACTAAATTCTTACATTTTCAAAGAAATTTCTGTCATTGATGAAATATGACAATTTCCTACTAAAATTATGCACAAAGAATTAAAAACAATCTATTTTCCAATACTCCATTGTCCCTTTAGTTTCAAAATTATAATGAATAAACTGTGTTATACCAGAACTAAATGCTTTTATTATATGCCTATGTCTTCCATCCAGATTAACAGATTCAATTCGAGAGGCCTTAGGATCAGCCCAATAGACTCTTTTTGCAGGATGATCAACTGCAATACCAGTAGGCCAAATAATATTTTTCTCAACAATTATCTGTCTTTCACTTCCATCAAGTTGTGCTCGTTCTATTTTTGCATATACACCACTATCTGTCCAAAACATGTATCTAAAAAAAAAAAAAAAAAAGCATTTTTTAAAGTTACCAGTAAGGAATCTTTCAGTAGCTATAATAATGTATAAAAGAAAGCTTAAATGCATTTAATATATCCACATCATTTAAAGATAACAAATTTTCACTCATTGCTGCAAAAAATTGCTTGTTAGAACACTGTTAGACTAAGAATTTTTAATTGCAATTAATAAAAACAGCCTAACATAAAATCAGATGCCTCATTTAGATTGCTAGTAGGTTAGAAAATGGGAATGCAGCTGTATCAAAAACCTCCCTCCTTCCATCAGTGCCTTTGTAATGTAACAATAGCACACTCAGGATGTATTCGAGAAATCCAGGTTTGAGTTCCTGCAAGGGCACTGTACAATTTTCACATCTCCTGTTTCAAAAAACCTAATGACTCTGGAAATGGCACCCGAACACAGAGGTAATGGACAATAATTCGTCACCATCAGGATTTGGCCATTGAGTCCCCCTATTCCCTAGTCACTCTCTAAAAAAGGGGAAGTACATAAGGTATTTTCTCCCTCGAGTCCCAGTGAGAGCATGGCACATTTTTCACGTCTCCCCCTTCAAAACACCTAATGACTCTACAATGTATTTTAGCCCCACTTAACAACTAAAGTTTGCCTATTTACTTCCAAGCTATTTTTATTAATGCCAAGTACTAATTGAAAATAATAAAGGTAATATATAAAAACCTTAACAAGTTCACATAAAATTTCAAAATATAACAAAATAAATATTTTGCTTATACACAATTAAAAAATAAAGAGATATTATTGATTAACTAAAAGTCATAATATCTTACATAACATACGCTCACTGAACAAAATAAGGAAAAAAATATTTGCATGACGGTAACATATACAATATTTATTTGCATGTCCCTTCCCGTTTATTCCTCCCATTTCGTATATTTTCCCCCTCACCTTTTCTAGCACAATGTTCTGAAAAATTTTTAGTCATGTAGTTTCCCATTCCTCTTAATGGATACTTTTAATTTGTTATGTTCTTACTGTACCTGCATCCTTCAAAAATTAAATTATTCATATAATTTTCCCCTCTTGATTTTTGTACAATGAGATTAGTAAAAAAAGGGGGAAATTCTGCATATAAATATGGCATTAATGATCAGTAATCCAGATTTGAAGACATGCATAATAAACATATAACTAATTCTAGGAATTTTATGCCTCATCCAAATATCATATAGTCTATAATTTAATTTTTAAAATTTTTTTTTAATACAGTCAAAAGTCGTTAATTCGGACACCCATAATCCGGATCTTAAAGCTAAAAACTTTCTGCGCATGCGCCGCGTTGGCACATGCGCACAGGCGTTTTACGCGTGCGCGTAAGACCTTGACTACTGCGCATGTGCATGTGCGCAAGTGCAGAATACGTTTTCGCCTGCGCGTTTAATGTATAACGGACGGTGTAAGCTAAAATTATCTAATTATCTATTTCAGTTAATGATTGCATTGTTCCTTAATCTTTGAATTGGATCCCGCTTATTATTTTTTGCAGACTGTAAGAGCAATTTTATAAAAGTAAACTTGAACTTTCGATTATGTCAAATAGAATTTCCGATGCTGGAACTTCCAAAGGATCTACAAAACGAAAGTATGTTTCGATGTCCAACAAACAAAAAAGTGGAATTGCTGCAAAAAATGGATAAAGACATGAATGAAGAATGTGACAGAGAGGTTAGTGAAAACGAAAAAATTTCGATTGACAAGTTAGTCGGTATTCTCGGCACAGCAATTAACGGGACTTGAACAGCGGAAACTTTGTAACTGAACAAGAAATTATGTCTGTTTATAGAATTAAAGAGAAAGTATTATCACATAAAACGAAGCAACTTAAACAACTTACATTGAAAGAAATGTTTAATAAAGTAAACAATAAATATATTAAGCTTTTTTTTTTTTTTTTTTTTTAATTTTGATACCCTTTAGATAATTGTTCTTTATTTCATAAATTACGGTTTCATATTTTTAATTTTAGAATTTCTGCATGCCATCTTACGAGATTTAAACTGATGATCTATAATCCGGAATCGCCGAAGTCCCGACGAGTCCGGATTAACGACTTTTGACTGTATACTAAACTCAGTAAACGCTTACAGGTATAATATAATAAACTCCTTCCATCTTTATAATCAAATACCAGCATGTAAAGCAGTGGAAAATTTCAGCTAATTTTCAACATTTTGTAAATTTAAATATTATTTTTTAAAAATGAATTTGCAGTTACAAAATTTCTTAAAGCAGGAGTTCCAGAAAGTGAAGCAGATTATATACTTAAATTATAATATACAATGAATTATAGTTGCAATACTACGCTTTTATTCCTGATTATTTTGGATTTACTTACCCATCTTCTGGATCCAATGCAATATCATCAGGCTGATCAAGATTTGTTGATATTACAGTTTGCTGCAGGGCTCCATCAAAAGATGCTAGAGATATTGCGTCAAGTCCAGCATCCACCCAATACACATGGTGATTTATCCAATCAACTGAGATGCTTTTCGGTTCAATTAAATGATCCACCTAAAAGATAAGGATAATGAATGTTGTGAATCTCAAAGATTACGTTCAATTTCATATTCATATACATTATTATGCAGCAGTTTGCTTAAAAGTAATATTAGAAAATGAATAATTTTAATCAGATCAAATTTTGAATATATTATTACCTTCAAACCAAAAAAACAATATTTTATATAATAAGATATCTAATATTATTATATATAATATTGTTGTGTGCATACAGGTTCGTAATAGATTGAATACACAAGTCTAATAAAAGGCTAATAAAATTTATTCTTATCAAAAGAAATGTAATAGAATATAATCTAAAGTTATACTTCAAACTACTGAAAAAACGTTAAAATACAATGCAATGCAAAGAGAAAGCTAATCTGATTTCACACACAACTCGCAATAATAACAACAGCAGCTAACTAAACAACTGAGCTGAGATGCTCTATCTCTCTCTCTGGCTTTTTATAGATTTCAACCCGTCATAAGATATTTCTAGTAATTTCTGCTTCTTGAGATTTCTGGAAAACAATAAGAGGATGTAATTACAGTTACAGCTAACACAGTGGTCAATTACATTTATTAAATTTCAATACAAATTAATGAGATATCCATTTATTCAGTGTTAAAAGCATGTGCTCCTGTATTTTTACTCTTCTGGCATAGCTTTCTCTTAAAATTCGTCTCACACTGCACTGCACAGGGAAATACAACAATTTTAATTATAATTCTACTAAAATTGGCTGTCTAATTACAAAATTCATAAAAATATAAAGTTTTAAAATTAATTAATATTACATATAGTATTAAGAAGATTTAACTATTCAGCATGAAATTACTGCTGATTAGGTAACCGATTATGGGCAAAACACTGAAGGACAATTTGCTTCAAGAGAAATGCTTTTGTAGATAATTTTAGAAGGGACATTATACTGTGTTGAGGGAAAATGATTTATATTCATGTTACACATGAAGAAGACCATAAAACGTTTATGCATTTGGTTTGGTTAGATGTATTAAACAAAACCCATTAATTGCAAGAAACTAAACCCAAGCTCATTCAATTGCTGTAAATAAAAACTGTAAAAAAAAAGATAGTTTCTTCTGGGGCTTGGTTCATAGAAGTTGAACACAATGGGTGGGTGCTTCTGTAAGGATCTTAAGTTTTACTAACGTTTATTTTATTTTAAATCTTTACTATCACTTCTTATTTTCTACTTCCGGCCAGAATTATAAGCGTGAAGGAGTTTTATGCAAAGTTGTCTGGCGAACGCCAAGTATTTAAGTGTGGCCTTTTTGCCAAGCAGAAGAGAGGAAGCCGTGAGTTCGAAGCAGGCCGCTTACCTTAGAAGTTACGCAGTTGCTACTTTGCCTTCCAGGCCAGAGGTTTTAATCCTCTTGATAAATTAAACGTATTGTAGTGTTCACAGTCTCTGTGCTACATACGCTTTCCTGTTATTATAAGGCCAATCTTATTCTAAAGTTAAATTAGAGTTTAGTTTTATTTTGATATCTTTTAAGTTAGACCCCGAGTGGAGGGTCATTGTATTCCGAAGTACGGAAGTCATTGTATATAAAGAAAAAAATAAAGGGTTTTGTATACCCTTCGTCTGTATCCTGTCTACTTACTACAATTAGTGAACATAGCTTTAGTAAGCTCTCTGTTCTAGTCAGGTCATTGTATGTTTCCGAAGAAGGTTAGAAGAAACATTGAACCTGATAGTGGCGCCCCCGACGAAGAATAACCATGGCCGAGTTTCAAGAAGAACCTGTGCTGCCTGCAGAAAGAAACAGCTCAGAATCCAGAAATGCCAGCTGCCGCCCTGGAAGGATTTGGGTATATTGTCCAGACCATGCGCGCTTCGATGAAACCAGAAGCAACGTTTAATGGAAACTCACAGGTAACCAGTTTTTTGGAAAAATTGGATGACCACTTCATGCTCTACCCCGTGCACGAGTTTCAAAAAAGTTACCTTAGCTACCAGCGCTTTGAGGGGCCAAGCGCTTAACTGGTTCAAATGTATCGGCAGAAGTCTCTTGGGTCAAGCAGGAAGTCCCACCTATACCTACGAAAATTTCAAGACTGCCCTACTAAAAGCCTTCCCTGTTGTAAGGGATCGTGCGAAATTAGAAACAGAACTGTTCAGTATATATCAACAAAGAATGGAAAACCTCTCCAGGTTTATTTTAAGAAAAATTCACGTTTTCAAGCTCTTGTATGGAAACCGTCCGGATCCTGAAATAATTCAAGTGATTTTGCCGAGGTTACTACCCCAAGTGCAAGACTTTATTGAATTGAGAAATCCGACTACACTGGAAAAATTATTTGAGCTAGCAATCCAGTTTGAAAGTAGAAGAACGGCGGACGTCGAAAGAAGACGCCAATATCAACAGCGAAACCAATTTGGTACGCCAAGACTACAGCAAACTCAAGCACATGGCTACGGAGAAAAAGCGAATCAGTGGGCAAGGAAACCCGAGCATTCAAAAACAGCCGGCGAACGTCGACAGTTCAATAGCAACCCAGGAAAAAAGTCTCAAGGCCAGTGGAGAAAGAAGGAAAAGCACCGAAAGAAAAAAAAAAATATTTTTTAAACTAAAACGGATTTCTGCTGACGAGAGGGTGCGGAAATCCGAAGGCCACGAAAAACCCCTCTTCCTACAAGTTAAATACAGTAATGGTGAAAAATTTAACTCTTCCGAAGATTGAAGTCTTGGTAAATAATATCCCGGCCACCGCACTCCTGGATACCGGCGCGCAGTGTTCCTGTGTGGCAGAAGTCTTTTTTAGAAAGTATTTTCGCAAATACCGCATATATAATGCGGATAATACAACAGTATTAGCGGCGCAAGGAGAACAATGTAAGTGCGTAGGTAAAGTACCTTTGTACATCCGTATCAAGGACGAACAAGTAAAGGTGATGTTTTTTATAGTAAAGAATTTGCAAGCACACTTAATACTAGGAATAGACTTTCTTTCAGACGCACAAGCTACACTGGATTTTAATGAAGCGTCTCTTAAGCTGACGATGAATGATGAAACCAGTGCGTGTAGTAGAAAAGGTTGAACCGCCAAGGGTAAATCTCGACCACCTGCCTAATGACGAGCAAGATAGAATCCGACAAGTGGTAAGTGAATTTGCTTCCTTATTTAGTGATATTCCAGGATTTACCCAGGTTACTAACCATAGTATTGACACCGGAGATGCATTGCCGGTTCGTCAAAAACCATACCGGTATGATAAGAATAAGGAAAAAATTATAGAATGGCATATTACCGATATGCTACGTAAAAAGATCGTAACGCCTATCTCAAGTAGTTATGCTAGTCCGGTGGTTTTATGTATGTAAGAAAAATAATGATTATCCTTTGGAGCATCCAAAAAGGTGGAGATTCGCTATTGATTACCGTAAATTAAATTCCATAACGAAATATCCGGTATATCCGTTACCGATTATAGAAGAAATTTTAAGGAACATAAAATCAACCAAATTTATGACAACTTTAGACTTAACGAATGGTTATTTTCAAATAGGGATCAGGCCTGAGGACGTGCCTAAGACTGCTTTATAACCAAGTCTGGCACTTATGCATTTTTGCGAATGCCGTTTGGCCTTTCAGGCGCCCCAGCAACATTTCAGCGATGCATGGACATTGTGTTAAGACCTGTTCTCGGAAAGTCCACATTTATCTATTTAGACGATATCATTATTACTAGTGATAATCTAGACCAACATGTACAGGATTTAAGACAGGTGTTTTCTTTATTAAATGAGGCCGGTCTAAAAGTTAATGTCGAAAAATGCAAATTTGCAGCCCCTGAATTAAAATATTTAGGTTACAAAATATCGCAAAAAGGGATCGAGACAGATGAATCAAAAATAATCGCGGTGTACAAAAGTATCCCACTCCAAACACGGCAAAGAAGCTCTCTTCTTTTCTAGGACTTTGTTCATATTATAGGTCCTTTATAAAAGATTTTGCGGCTATCGCTGAGCCATTGTTTTAAAATTAAAAAGGAAAAAAAGGCAAGATTCTCGTGGACGGCCGAAGCCAATAGTGCTTTCGAAAAATTAAAACAAGCATTAACGCAAGCCCCTGTGTTGAAATTTCCTGAAAAGGATGAAAAAATTTAGAAATTTCAGCGGATGCTTCGGATTATGCGGTAGGAGCGGGGTACTTTCGCAAAATCAGCAGCCAGTAGCATTTTTTAGCCGAACTTTAAATCAAACACAAAGAAACTATTCCGCGACCGAGAGAGAGAGGCACTTGCAGTTCTGTTAGCAGTGCAAAAGTTCCGAGTCTATTTTGGAAAGGCGCCGATAACAGTATATTCTGATCATGCGGCGGTGGTAACTAGATTGTACTCTGGAAAAAATTTATCCCCAAGGTTAATAAGATGGGCACTCAAGCTGCAAGAATATAATCTGGTAATCAAGCATACCCCCGGAAAGGAAAATATCGTAGCAGATGCCCTGTCACGAATTAAATTAGACGAACAGGGTAATACCGTAAAAGTTGCAATGCTGACAGCGTGTACAATAAATTCCCGAGAAAAAAACTGTAATAACTGAACTGGGTAAGGATCCTGAGTTTGGAAGTATTTATGAGTATTTGAAGGATCCTGAAAATTTTAGCCACCAAGATATTGTGGCGATAAGAAATAGGGCGGCCCATTACGAACTAATAGATGGTCTATTATTTTATACAAAAACTACGAATTCCAACAACGAATTTCGACCTGTTATCCCAGCTAGTCTTAGATTAAATATCCTGCAAGAGCTCCATGACAGCCCTTTAGCTTCTCATGCTGGTATTCGAAAAAAAAACTCAACGCGTACGCGAGGCAGTCTACTTTCCTGAACTGCAAAAGTTAACAAGGGCGTATGTCCAGTCCTGCCCAACATGTCAAGCCGTTAATTATATTAATTTCCGCCCGGCCGGGTTTCTAAATAGTATTAAATCCGAATTTCCAAATGAAATAATCGGTATCGATTTATTGGGCCCT